CTACTGGTCCTATCCCCTATTCCACATAAAGCCCTGGGTATAGATAAACCCCAAATCCCATGCAGAGTGGGAAAAAAACTGCTCTCAAGCAGAGAACTCTACCCATGATCTGGTAATCCTCTAAAATATTTTGTTAAATTACATGATGCAGAGAGGATTTTGTGCTTTGATCTGTGCATAAATGTTTTGTAATGTTTGACGTTAATGTTTTTAGAGTGGTTTGGCTGTGTGACAATACAAAGGCCCTTGTTACCTGCCTGTGTTTGACCAGGATCACAGGGTTTGTTACTTGATTGTTGTCTAGACCATTGTTTCTCAATCTGGTACTTGTGGACAGCCAGACGGTCCACGTTTTTGTGGAGGGAGCAAAATCGTGGACCGTCTGTGGGGTCCCGTTTTGAGAAACAGGTCTAGAAGCATAAAAGCACCAGCAAACATTACAATCCCTGGCTTCCCACTGCGGAACATTTAAAAATTGACAGTGACAGTAGGAATACATAGAAATTACATTAGATATTTCTGCATGCTCATTGGAAAGTATTGGGTGGTTATTTTGGGTTTGTTGTCTAATGGTGTAAATTGCAGGAGAGACCTGGAGCAGAAAGTAATGACATTGTGAATGACATGGACTGCAAACATTAGCGATACAGCTCTCAGGATGGGCTCTGCTTGGAAACCTCAGGCATGATACTTAAAATGATATATTGCCGTAAAGTACCCAAATCATGAAGTTAAGATTTTAAGTCACTTACAACTGTCGGGAAAACAGCTAAATGTAATTTATCAGTACTAAAAGACCTTGTTTTTTTCCGTACAGCTATTTCCTGCAGGAATATGTGCCTTTAGCTGGATGAGATTTTGTGAATATGTGGGGTAGAGATGTACAACGCCATCTGGTGGGGAAATGGTGGCAGGTCTGGTAAGCCTCATTAGGGAGACCTTCAGGACAGTGACAGCAACCAGGCCCAGAAGCAATTCTCCTTGTCCAGTTAGGGCGAATAACTCCTCTTACATGGGGAAGCATCTGTTGAAGACCTCATACCCCCCCTGCAGCCTAATGTGTCTATTACACAGCTTACTTCAATCTCAGATTCCCTACAGCTTATCTAATACACATGAGGCTAAGACTTCCATAAAGCATTTTATTACTTCTATCATGACTTTTATGCAAATCCACTCCTGTGTTGTATGTCCCTGTTGGCTTTCGAAGATTACCTACAGGGCTAATGCGATTTAATGTCAAATACCCTTGATTAACCTTATTTTCCTGCAGTGGGCTATCCTTGATAAGTCTTTCAGTTAGCACGCGTCCTTTCCTTTCCAATTTACATTCGCACCCCATTAAAGCTAAGCCTTGACGGACGTCCTCCTCGCCATCATGGCACCTGTTGCTGAGGGGCAGAGAGGGGAGAAAAATGCGATTCACCTTGCAGCTGCGGCAGAAACATCCAGAGCCTGCATGTTAGGACGATGCTCTGTCACATGTTGTGGAAGCCTGGTGTGATGTATGACACAGCATCACACAGATTGCAGAGAATGATCAGGCAGGTCCATGCAGAAGCTAAAGTTATATATATATACAGTACAGTATATACTGTATATTCTTCATCTCTATTTTCAAGAAACTTCATTTATTTAGCAGGCAATTTCTTCCAAAGCAACATGCTTCTTTCTGACAAAGTCACTGGAGTAATTGAGGGCTAAGGGCCTTGCTCACCAGTCTAATTGTGACATCTCTCTGTCACACCTGGGATTTGAACTGGCAACCTTCTGATCAAGGGTAGAGTTGAGCAGCACACCAGTAAGAAAGAACAGACTGTTTAGCAGAGGATGGTTTTGATCCATCACCCTCCGGGTTATGGGCCCAGCACACTTCCACTGCGCCACTCTGCTCTACACACGTTTTGTGAGTGGAACTCACATACACAAATATGTAATTTTTTGGTTAATTTTAAACCACATTCCTACAGCACTAAACAATTGTGTCTATATTCTAGTTATCAAGCAGGTATTTCATACTATTTCCAGATATTGCTCTTTTTGCACTTGTTGTTTCCTAATGTAACCAGTTGACTAGACGTTGAGTCCATGTCTAGCTACCTTTAAGGTGGCTGGTTCATATCCTGTGAAAAGCCCTTTTGCAGCACCGGTGTTTGGCAACACTCAAGCAACACACTTGATTGGTGCCCCCTTTTGGCCACAAACAGTCACTACACTAAATATTACATAAACACATTCCTTAATTAGGATATTTTGAAGCAGCACCAGATAGCTACAATCTCCTGACACTAGAACCCAGGAGCTCAAGTGAAACATCCATCCATCCATGCATCTTTCAGCTGCATATCCTGAGCAGGGTCATCAGCTCATTTGAAATATCCACTGTAAAAATGTGCACATTGTATATGTACAGGCAGGAGTGAAGCTTTTAATTGCTGTTGTAATGCGTAAGTCCTGTGGAAATCATGACCCAGCTGATAAGGCTGTTGTAGACCCACATCATTTGCATAATGCAGCACACTGAGCCTCTTAAATGTCTGCTAACATCTGGATGTCTGCCACAAGGAGAAATTCCATTTAGCAAGAACTATTGCTTAGAATGCATTTTTATTTATGGCTGTCCTTGTTAATTGTATTACATTCCATACAGTTATATTGTTAGGGACCACATTTGGGATATTTAAATAATAATATTTTTTTTCTGTAACGCAAAATGCAAAATATATGAAGCCATACTCAGTATTGCAGAATTTTTTTTTTTCTTTTCTCATTGGAAAACGATGACATTAGTCAGTCCTGTGACATCCTTCCTGTCTGCTAGCTGACTTTTGTTTGAGGTTCCCCACACCAGTCCAAGGGCAGTCAGGTTAAATGTGAGTCATACCATCTTTGGAATTTTATTTTGCGACATGACTGCGTAGCGTTTGGGCACCCTTCCCATTTCCCATAATGGAGGGGCATGACATTTCTTAAAGGGACAGTAGCATATGGAAAACAGGGCCTGGTGAAGCAAATGATGATCTTTGGAACATTTTTTTAAGTCTGAGTTAATATAGCACATATCCATCTTCCAGACCAAGGCAGCAAAAGGCCAGGGTACGCCTTGGTTGGGATGCCAGTCCATCATGGGGAAGACAACCATAGATAAATTAGATGCCTGCGCATCAAAGGTGGGGTGATTCTAGGATTTCTCAAAGTGGGGGGCATAAGATGGGCATAATTTATACAGAGAGGTCAACATTATCATTACCCAATGATATTTTTTGAATTGGTGAATGACAGGGATGGACTCATTCTGCGAGCCAATCACCTTTAAGCTGGGGTCATTGCCCCTGTGGCCCCACCCCTGTGCACAGCCCTGCGTGAATAAATTTAATTACTTGAAGGAAACCCACATAACACAAGGACAACATGCAACCTCCTCCCCCAATCCTGGTAATGTAAGGCAACAATGCTACTCATACCTCATAACACAACTTCTCCTCCAGCCAGGCGTGGACTGGCCGTCGGGAAGTTTGGGAATTTTCCCGGTGGACCTATCTTGTGAGTACCAGTCCTCTGTCTACAACACCATATACACTAAGGCTTCCCCACCTGCAGGTCCACTCCTGCCTCTAACTTCTCATTTGGCAAAATTGTTTTTCAAACTTGGGAATGTGTACATTATACGGTTCTGATATAATCAGTTATCAGTCCTTGATACACTTACAGAACAAATCTAAATGTATTAATGATTCAAATGGTAACAATATGCACACAGGTTCTGGGTTCTGGAGCTTCTTCTGTGTTTGAAGTGGTTTGGAGTTGGCCAGTACCTCACTCCTTCCCAGTTTAGGGTTTGAATTCCACTTCCACTTTGTGTGTGGAGTTGGCTTGTTCTGTGAGGTTCCTTCAGATACTCCGGGTTCCTCCTGCAGTCCAAGGCATGCAATTATGCCACTTGGTGTCTCCAGTTTGCCCACAGTGTGTGTATGTGCCTTGTGCTGACCTGTTATCCAGTCCTGGTTGTACCTGTGCTGTTCAGGGTGGTCTCAGCCTCCCCTATGGCCCCAACCAGGATAAGCAAATGGGAAATGTTTGGTTGCAATGATTTAATGAGTGAAATTAATTACAGACTAGTGTCAAAGTCTGACCTACAGGGGAAAAATCATTTCTCTTCACCAGGGCATGGGCTGGACGGGTATGATGGATTTACTTTAACGTCACACGTATCACTTTCTGTTTCTCAGAATATTTATGTGAGTCCTGACATGTCCTGTGCAGTCATCATCCTGTGTTAAACAGCACAGGAAGTGGTTATTGTTGAGGATGCCTACAAAAAACCCACAACCCTTCTTGTTTTTCCGAAATACACATTGTCTGTGGTCTTTCAGCTTCTGAACATCGCGCAAAGCGCACTCCAAAAGGACATTCATAAAACCCCAACATCGTTTACATGTACTTTCAAGATATTCGAACATCGTAACTGAAATGTATTCATTAAATTTGACAGCGTGGAGATTATAGTACTATAACATTAACATTTGTACTACCAGATAATCTGCTTTTTCAGCCCTTTAGCGGAAACTAGTGCGTCAGAAATGTCTGTTTTGCAGCGTCACCAACTTTGGTCAGCAGGCTGGATTTAGATTTTCAGTTCGAGACTAGTCTGTACACATTTGCAGGACATGTATGTAACAGTTATATTACCATGTAAATAGTCTGTAGGGTTTGCAAACTACTACGACGCTTTTGATGCAGCTAAATTTAGGTTCAAAATGTAATAATACAGATTTGTCGTTGGCAACCCTGGTTTTGTAAATAACCATCATATACTGTTAAAGATTTAATAATTATTATTGTTTCGTTTCTATTGAATACTTTATGCATTGCACTGTAGTGCTTATGTTTGCCAGGATAGCAGTGACCTCGCCTTCACTGAGGTTATTTTGAGGCAATTTACACACAACACGCGCAGACACGCGCACATACACACTTCACAATCGCGCGCGCAGGCGCGCGCAAAACCGCTTTCTTTGAGTCATGTTACGAAGGACGGAGTCGCCTTGTAGAAACAGAGATACGGCAGATCTGCTAGGAAGTGAAGTTGAGGTCAGTTTGTCACGCATATGCGCACTTTACGGTGTCCAGGCCAGTGTCCCAACTCTACTTATTTAAAAAAGGGGGATAAGAAAATCACCGTGAGTAACTGATATGATGGAAAAGGAGCCGCTACTTACCGAGAGCATCAACCAGAGAGCCGCTAGTTACGGCTCTGCCCCGGGAGCCGTTACACTCAGCGGGTCATCTAAGCCAGGCGAGGACTCCTACCAAGTGGAGGGGGGTGAGTCATTTCTCATCTGCAAACTGTAGACTTTAAAACGCATAATTTGTCAAAACGAAATAAGAAAGAAAGAAACGTAATACTTTGATAGTTACAGTATATAGCCAAACAAGTGTAAACTAGCTAACTAAGAAGTGCATATGGAACTGGAAGCTTTGATTTTTGAATGATTTTAGCGTCAGGGTTGGTCATTGTGTAGCTGTTAAATGTATTTAAATGGCAATAATAGATACAGTCCTAACGCGCGTATTTTATTAACGAACAGGCACATCTAGCGGATGACAGGGTGCAGTACTTATGGTGTGTTATGTGAAAATAACATTAAGTAGGTGACCTTTACCTAGCTGTCTCTTTCAACATGAATGTATAGTTAGTAATTTTGTAACCGTAGGTATGTTTGCGACATCTGTGATGGTGATTATGTCACTCAAAAATGCATCATCTTCACTCAGTAATGTTTGCGTGTTTTAGAGATATATTATCTTACATTAAACTGATCATTAATTAGTTTATTTTCTCTTTTTCAAGATGAAGACGACATCTATATCCGGCGCGCTGTTGTCTTTATCGAAGATGCAATACATGTATGAATTATATATTTGTACGCTTTAAATAAAAATATATATACATGATCGCATTGAGAACATTATTAAAAGTTTAATATCTATTACAGTATCGTTCAATCAATCATCGCGTGGACTCGAAATCACTACGTGTTTACAGATGGTATTATTCCTGGATCTGGCAATGGTGAGATCTGTCTAGCTATCAAATGCTTTTCCTTATGAAGGTAACATGTTTTCATATTATTTAAAAAAATTAAATCATTAAAGCATTCATTTTGATCGATTTTATTCCTTGTAACAGGAATTAATAGGATATTTATGTAGCTTATACATAGTAGGCCTATGATTTTTTAATGACAGCTCCTCAGTGTAACCTGTTGCTCTTCCAACACTTGGTGATTCATGAAGGGGAATGATTTTGGCCATCGCCGTCATCCTCGGCTTGGCGTTTGTAGAGAGGCCCTCGTCCCTGTCCCTTTCTTCTGATCCACGCTACAGACAGGCTGCATGGGAACCCCCCTGTGGCCTGACTGAGGGCATCGAGACGGCCTTCCTCATCATCTTTGCCTTTGATGTAACAGTGAAGGTCAGCTGCTCAGCGTTTAAAGAGAGTTTAGACGTAGATTGGAATGTTCATATTCCTGCCTCTGATCCTGTCATCAGACTCTCCAGTTCCATATAGATACCGATTACTTTCTAATCTCTCCCTTCTTGTTGGCAGAGTTATCTGATTGGCTGGACGGAGTTCAAGAAGAATAAGTGGCTCATTAGTTATACGGTGGTTATCGCGGGGTCCTTAATGGACTTGATCGTATCACTCAGTATGGTTTGTGGTGAGGTAGGCAAGGTGCTTTACTTGTCTTTGTCATCAGTGGAAACGTGAATAGAATGTATTGTCTGTCTGGCTGACAAAATAATTTCTTTAATGTACGGTTTACTACACTTATCCAAAGCAATGTGTCCCTTTGTTTTACACATGGGTGTCATAAAAGAGCAACTCAGTTTGTGTTCTCTGCCGATCCTTCATCAGAAAAGTCCCGAGAGCGCCGTCTGTCTAAAAGTCAGAAATGTGTCGATGCATGTTTCTTTTTAATATATATTTCAGAACATAAGAGTCAGACGATTATTTCGTCCATTCTTTCTCCTTCAAAATTCATCACTAATGAAGAAGACATTAAAAAGCCTCAAGAAAACTCTGCCAGAAATTGCAAGGTAACTTTCTTTTTTTCATGGCTAACTGTAAAATGTTGAAGAAGGAAGGAATGAATGAATGATTATTAAGAAGAGAAACCTAATCATTGCTATTATTACTAGATAATCTTAGGCTTTTGCATGTATGTGTTTCTAGCATGTTCTACTTGGTTATGAACTTAGATCTTGATGTATAAAATGAGACCTAAGGGAAATTTATTGTATCTTGAAATCGCACAGTATGTGGTCATGTGTATGTTGTTGTGCTCACATTTTTTGGTAATCTTCTGTATGTTACACAAGTAGCACCTGCTTCAGTTATTGATTATGTATTTGTACATAAGCTTTGCAATTGCCCTAATTTAACATCAACCTATACCCATTTATTATAGTACATGCATGTGACATTACGATGATGTTTGTATGCTTACATTTGATGATGCTGTTATGTTGTGGTGGGTATCAGCCAATCTCTCCTGTTGTTCAGTGTGGTCCTACTTCTGGCTCTCCACTTGTGTCTCTTCACCATGTTTGGCATGCTGCTGTTTGCCAAGAGAGAGGTAAAAGAGGCCAGCACACAACATTACATAGTGTGACATAGCGTGACATAGCATGACATAACAACATAACAAAGGGTACTGTTTAAAAAGCACCTAGTAAAAAATTACCTTAATCACCTGAAGAAAATATGTACAACCTAATAATTGTAAGGTACAATTTTCTTGACTTAATGTTTACAGACACTCCCTGGGTTACGATATTTCCACGTTATGATATTTCAACTTTACGATGGGTGTTCCATTTTGTTTTTCACTTTCAGTACATTACTCAGTAAGTTACATGAGACATTCAACACTATATTATAAAATAGGCTTTGTGTTAATGATTCTGCCCCACTGTAGGCTAATGTACAGTAAGTGTGCATTTTCACCTTATGACACTTTCACTTTACAATAGATTTATCAGAACGTAACCCCAACGTAACCCGGGGAGCATCTGTATATTGATTACAACTGACTTTGTAGTACATTTTGTTTTGTGTTGTGTTTGTATGGATTAGTGGATGACCACAATGAGCAGAAGCTAGCAAAAGTGGAAATGCCAGCTTATTTTGGAATGTACTGCAGTGGGTTGAATTGTGCGGTGCCTACATACAGATCAGAGACTATTTTTGAAGTATTCTCGCCTAGAAATCAGAGGAGAACGCAGAATGGGAAACTTACTTCAGAAATTTACCTCTGTCCCTGTCGTCCTTGCTTGTGCTCCTCACCACCGCGAATAACCCAGATGGTGAGTACTCCTTCAGTTCTCCTTCGCCTTCGTGGCCTCCTAGTGTTCTTTGTATAAATTATACAGTTAAAGACTGAATTTATAATGAAATCAGTCCTTTTCAGTGTAGCACTATTACAACCAAAAAGTACTTTACAGTGATTGCCAGTAGTTCTCCAAAGGGCATGGATAACCAGAAAGACCTGTAATTACCAGCATTGGGGAAAATATTACCCTGATTATTCCAGTAAAGCAACTCACAGAGTTACCCTTCTGGAAAGGAGTATTTGGAGAGTTTTAAGTGACAAAGTTGTGGAGAATACATAAACAGCTTTGTTATGGTGAAGAGACTGGCAGTCATGAGCAGGCATAGTCATTATGAAGTCAGAGCTGTGGGCTAGGGGTCAGAATGAAGCTGGGGGCGAGCTGGTGGAGACAACTGTCAGACTGCTGGACTGTGTCAGGCCTATTTACTCTACAGCATAACTTCTGCGTTTTTATTTTTGCTTTCAGTATAACTATTTTTCAGTGTAACTTTCATGTCTATGTCGTAATTATCATATTGCTACTTTAAGTGTCTTTCTGCTGTCATTGTTTATATGGGAGAGTTGACCACCTTACATTTCACTGCAGGCTATGGTCTGACTGTATGCCTTTGCATGTGACCAATAAAACCCTTGAATCCTTGAGTTCACATGGACCTGTTCTGACCATGGTCATGATGTTGTGATCCAAATGATGATATCTTGGGCCACATGGCTCAGAGCGGAGAGAAGAGGGGAACATTTGGAAAACCAATGGGAAATTAAATACAGGCTATGCCTTGGATTTTCAGTTGCTGCTTTGCAAATGTTTCTCTTCAAAAGTTTGTGGCTTTTGGTCACAGTGAGCAAACATTTATGCAAAGTCTCTTCTTGCTTTCCTGTGGCCAGTGATGACCCCGGCATACTCTTTAAACCGACTGTATGCCATCTTCTTCATCGCCTTTAGTGTGATTGGTAAGTTAGAGATACCGTAAACTTTTCAAATGTTCCTACATGCAGCTGCAAACCAGCCAGTGTCAAATGATTCAAAAGAAATCATTGTATTTGCCATCAAAAGTAAAGAGCAATCTATAACCTTTTTATTTGTTTATTATTGCACAGTGATTTCTCTGACCTTCTCTGTCCAACTAAATGCACATTTCTGCTTTTTCAGGAACCTACTTGATAATGAACCTCTTAACAGCCATTATCTACAACCAGTTCAGGGGATATCTACTTGTAAGCCTAAATCAATTTAATCTTCTCTTAAAAATAGGTACAATCAAAATTTCTAGACCATTGTCCATCCATGTTATCTTTGTAAGGGGGGTCTGGAGCCTGTCCTTGGCACCATAGGGCAGAAGACTGGGATACACCCCAGACAGAATGCTGGGCCATCACAGGGTGCATGTGCACAATCATACACAATTAGCAACTAGTGGTCCTAGTTTACGTAACTATGGGCTATGTGAAAACACCTGAATACTTAGAGGAAAGGTGAGAGCAGAGGTGAGATCTGAGCCTACAGTGCCACCCACTAAGCTACCACGCCACTGACAGGCCATGGTTGATAGCAAGAAAAATGTCAGTGAATCACATACTGTACACGTGCAGAACCCACCAGAATGGAGCAAGCCTGTTAACAAACTGGTGTTTAATGAGAAACTGTGTCCCATACGTTGAGGATCCCTTGTAGATGTCCGTGTCCCCCTGTAGATGTCCGTGTCTCCCTGTAGATGTCCGTGTCTCCCTGTAGATGTCCGTGTCCCCCTGTAGATGTCCGTGTCCCCCTGTAGATGTCCGTGTCCCCCTGTAGATGTCCGTGTCTCCCTGTAGATGTCCGTGTCCCCCTGTAGATGTCCATGTCTCCCTGTAGATGTCCATGTCTCCCTGTAGGTGTCCATGCAAGAGTCAGTGCTGAGGAGGCGCCTTGGCATCCGGGCGGCCTTCGAGGTCCTGTGCTGCAGGGGCCAGGCTGAGGACCAGGGCCTGGAAAAGGCGTGTGAAAATGAGCAAGCGTAAGATTGGTGGCCCCCTTCACCAAAAGCCGATACCCATTTCTGTTTGTAGCATGTTTCTTTTAATCACCGTATTTGATGTTTTAATAGCTAGTTTATTGCCTAACAATGGAATGCTTGTTTAATATACAGGCAGTTCTGTATATTATTTGCTCTGCAACCCTTACATAAGTCACATTTTATGTATTTATGTTACTATACCATTCAAGACACCTTGTAGCACACATAAGCTAAAATATACTAGTATTATGTATTAAAGAACCAATCATCAGAATAAATCAATGAAAAAAGTGAACATTTTGTGTAAATTTATTTACAGGTGTATGTTGCCTTTTTGCATTAGCACTTCCATAAACTATATACACTACATGGACAAAAGTACTAGGACAACTGGCCATTACACCTACAGGAACTTTTATATCGCATTCTAACTCCATAGGCATCAATATGGAGCTGATCCCCCCTTTGCAGCTGTAACAGCTGCCACTGTTCTAGGAAGGCTTTTTACAAGATTTTGGAGTGTGTCTGTGGAATTTTTTGCCCATTTATCCAGAAAACATCTATGATATCAGGCATTGATGTTCGATGTTGGACATGAAGACCTGACTTGCAATCTCTGTTATAGTTCATCCCAAAGGTTTTGGATGGGGTTGAGGTCAGGGCTCTGTGCAGGCCAGTCAAGTTCTTCCACACCATGTGTTTATGGATCTTGCTTTGTATGCAGAACACTCATGAAGGTAGTGTTCTCCTCCATCTGTCAATCTCAGACTCATCCTTCACACTGCCGGACAGAAAAACAAGATTCGTCACTCTACAGAACATTTCCACTGTTCCACAATCCAGTGGCGGTGTGCTTTGCACCACTCCGTCCAACGTTTGGCATTGCGCTTGGTGATGTGAGGCTTGCATGCAGCTGCTCAGCCATGGAAGCCCATTCCACGAAGTTCCCGGTGCACAGTGTTTGTGCTGGGGTTAATGTCAGAGGAAGTTTGGAACTCTGCAGTTTTTGAGTCAACAGGACGTTGGTAACTTTTACCCACTATGTGTCTCAGCACTCGGTGTCCCCGCTCCGTTACTTTATGTGACCTGCCACTTTGTGGCTGCCTTTCCGTTGTTCCTACATGCTTCCACTTTGCAATAATTCCAATTACAGTGGACCATGGAATATCTAACGGAAGAAATTTCATGAACTGACTTATAGCAGAGGTGGCATCCTGTGACAGCACCACGCTTGAATTCACTGAGCTCTTCAGAACGACCCATTCTTTCACAAATATTTGTAAACCTGACTGCATGGCTAGATGCTTGATTGTATATACTCTTGTGGCAATGGGTCTGAATGAAACATCTAAATTCAACGATTAAGAGGTGTGTCCCAGTACTTTTGTCCATATATCTTAGATATTTTTTATAAGTCTGGATTTTATCAAGTCTGTTTTATGTTAATTAAGAGCTGGCTGTATTCAAATAGAGCCATTTTGTTGACCCCCAGAAGCTTTTCCACTTCATGTTGATCAGTAGTCTATGGAAAAGGCTAATAGATAATGAGCTGACTGTCTAATATGACTGTAAGCTGATATCCTTGCCCTCTCCTCCTTCGGTCCTGTAGCGGAGGTGTACAGGTAAAGACCATAGAGCAGGTGCTGCAGCAGGTGCAGGCAGAGTCTTACTACAAGCACGCCATCATGACGGTGAGGAGGACCTTGTGGGATCATCTGCACCCAGAGTCCCCCAGCCTCTTCATCCCTCTGTGACCAAGTTGACTTCTGTTCTGTCCCTCTCGTTCACACCAGGAGGTTCAGCAGCTGACAGAGCGCCGCATCCAGAGCCAGACCTTTCAGAACCTCTTTGATGTTTTGGAGAGGGACAGGATAAAAGAGGTTGTGCCCAGAGCTCCCACCACAGTATTCCATGTACCTGTAGTGAAGTCAAGACCTGGTCTATTCCTGCCATTATATTGAAATGTTTTTACATAAGAATACAATATATCTACAAACGAGGAGGCCATTCAGTCCATCAAGCTCGTTTTGGGAAAACTCAAATAATAGTTCATAGTTGTTAAAATCTAGCTCTAATTAAAAGGAACCCAATGTTTTAGCTTGCACTACAGTAACAGGAAGACTATTCCATACTCTTACCACATGCTGTGTAAAGAAGTGCTTTCTCAAATCTAGTTTAAAATGTTCTGCTAATTTCCACCTATGAGCACACGTTCTTGTATTAGAAATAATATTGAAGTAACTGTATTGTTGAATAGCATCCTGACCCGTTTGAATCTTATATAGCTGGATCATGTCCCCCCTTAGTCCACTTTGCTTGAGGGTAAACAGATTCAGCTCAGTTAATCTCTCCTCATAAGACATTCCTCTAAAACCAGGAATAATTCTTATAGCCCTACGTTGAACACATTCTAAGGCAGCAATGTCTTTTTATGGTAAGGTGACCAAACCTGCACACATTTTTCTAAGTGGAATTAAGCAGGAGCCGTTTGTTGGGAATAACATCAAAGGCCTTCTGGAAATCTAAGATGATCACCTCATAGGCCTTTTTGTGATCAATTTCTCTTGTAGCTTCTTCAGTTTCTCTTGTAGCTGCCCACTGAACACGTGGCTCAGTTGGCTGAGCCTGTGTGCCTGTGATCCGAAGGTCACAAGTTTGAACGCAGTCTGCGGGTCCTTGAGCAAGGCCTTTAACCCCCAGCTCCCTGGGCACCGCAACAGGTGGCTGCCCTTCATAGCCAATATACTCTGTTGTGGGCAGTGGTGGCTTAATGGTTAGGGAAGCACACTTGTAATTGAAAGATTGCAGGTTCGAATCCCTGTCCAGCAAGGCACCACTGAGGTACCCTGAGCAAGGTGCTGCTCCCCGGGCGCTGAATTAGCTGCCCCCTGCTATGTCACAATGCCACATATGGGTTAAATGCAGAGGACACATTTCATTGTTGTGCACTGTGGTGTGTCAACAATGACCACTGATTACTAAATTCTAATTCTAAAAAACTCAAGTAGATTAGTCGAACAGGATCTACCTCTCCTTAATCTATGTTGGCTATTCCTCAGCATATGTATCCAGGTAATCTACCATTTTCGCTTCTAAATTTGAAGTTTAGTTGAATTGAAGCTAAAGCATTATATTTTACTGATAATGCGTCTGACTGTGGATCAGAAGTTTCCAGGTTTCACTCTTGGCTGGCTGGAGCTTTCCTGGTCGGGGGTGGTTTGTGGCGCACAGTTAGGCCTCTGTGCCTGTGATCAGAAGGCCACTGGGTTGAATCCTGTGCTCCAAAGAGCAGCCATGTCTCCTTTAGGCCGTTGAGCAAGGCCCTTATCCCACAGAAAACACTCCAGGGGCTCTGGGTGAATGGCTGACCCTGTGCTCAGACCCCCCCACCCCAAAAATTTTTTGTTCTCGCAATGTTTTCCGAATGTTATGATTGAAGTATGGAAACATTCAGTGTCCGGTTTTCCTGATTTTGCCAAAACATTATCTCACTACTACAACTAAGTAATAATTTGAAGATAAACGAAGGACATGGAATAGTAGTAGGTACCACTCTAACTTTACACATCATGCATAGGTATACACTTAAAAACTTTGAGAAGACCTTCACTGGCTAAAGTTATGAGAATGTTCCCTGTTAGCTGGGCACGCTTCACTCTCACCTCTATATAAAGAGGACAAGATGAAATTACGTGAAAACTAATAGATCCCAGTGTACTTGTGCAAGTTAAATTTCATTTCTGGATTGATTTCACACATTTTAATGAGATCCACATGGTAATGCTGTTTCTGTTTTTTCTGTCTTGCCTCAGCCGCCCCCGATGCCAGAGTACAGACTCCGCTGCATGCAGACGCTGCAGTTTTTGTTTAGTCACTATTACATGACCTTGCTTGGCAACATTATGGCTCTGGCCAACGTCGTCTGCATCTTTGTAAGTCTGTACAGGCAGCTGGGCTGCGTATTTTTCCATTAAATTCTGACTCTGCCTAAATATTGTTAAATATTTGTTAGACATTTAAAATAAACTATTAGGAAAAATAAAGGCACACAAACTCAGACCTGGGTTATTCACGTGCAGTACAGCTGAAAAGCATTTTATATCTGATAGCCTGCTTAGTAGTTTGCAGTTTAATCAGCTCTGGATGTTTCGCCAATCACGGTTCCTGGCACCAGGCCTGGGTGACCCCAAAGTCCAGGGCAGATTTTTAATGCCATTCCAGCCCTGGTTGGCACCCAGTGCTTGGGCATGCAAACTTAATCAGTGTCATGGTCCTACCATGTAGAATACTCAGGATAAATCTCTGTGTTCAGAGAAAGGTCAAAGAATATAACAAGGGGAATGAGAATTCCCTGGTTATTTATGCTTTATACACCTGATAACATGCATAACTGTACCGTTTAAATGAAATTTCAACTAATAAGAAACCTCCATTCATGTCCAGTTAGCTGGACTATAAGGGGTAGATACAGGAGACTGTACTAAAAGTAGCACAACAGTGCCACCTTGTGGAAATGTGTAACATCGACTGCAGAGGTCATTATTGACAGAGCAATTAATATGAATTGTCTTGCAGACTGTTCTGGTGGTTGACTCAGAAAAGTCCATCTCAGACTGGAGTGAATACTATCTGGAGGTAATTTCTGAATAGATTTTAATTTGTTTTGGCTTGTAGAAACAAATGTGTACAGCGAAAATCTCTTGCTGGTGTTATAGATGTAACAATGTGTAAATGCTGAGAAGAATAAATGTGTTTTTAATTGATTTAAATAAATTGTTAATGAAATTGCTTCTGTTTCCTTTTTGTTTAAGGTCATCAATTTGTCCTTTGTGATATTCTACCTGTTGGAGATGGTCCTGAAGATAGTTGCCTTTGGATTGAGGGGCTATTTGTTTTACAGAAGTAACATATTGGATGGGTTGCTGACACTTTCACTCGTGGTATGGACATATTTCTTTCATAGAATTGTATTTTTGAAAAGTACTTGACGGTACCCACACTTGGTTCTGAACCAGTCACAGTGCTAATAATTCATTAACTCCTACTAGTGTTACAGTCAGTGAGCTTTAGCAGACTCTGACAGCCACTAACATACTTCTTCTTTATGTTCATTTGCATGTTCGTTGTTGTAAAAATAATATACTCTTTAGGATTGTAATGTGATGATGGTTTTGATGGTTATGGACAGGGTACCTGCGGTCATGGAAAACCTGGAAAAGTTTTGGAATTTTGAAATAATTCTTCCAGGCCCTGGATAAGTTTTGTAATTCTTGGATAGAGAGGAAAAGTTTTGGAAACTAGCCTTGTTCATTTTTGTTTCCCGCTTCGTTCCGCAACGCGCTAACGGAAATGTACGAGCGGAAGTCAGTAGTTAACTACCTTATACAAATACTATTCTATCTACTTCAGTTTTACAAACTTGTGGGTTTTGGATAATTTTCATATGGTACTGGAAAAGTTTTGGAAAAGTCATGGAAATGTATTCTGCCAGATCTGGGGGAACCCTGTACGGAGTTATTTCTGTTTTTTTCTAGGCTCTCCAGATGTTCATATTAGTTAAGTATGGATTTTCATGCCCGAAGTGGTAGGTGTTTTTTCTCAGATAAAATGTATTCATGTATTTAAATTTTCTTGCCAAAACTTGCAGAATATGTACAAGGAACTTTCTGTTTCATTCTACTTAAAGATGTATGACTGTACTAAGGCATGAGTAATAATGAAAATAATAATTACTATATACTGGTAGTGAATTCAGTTCCTCCAAAAGGGTCAAGTCAAGCATGTTCATAATGGTGTTACTTGACCTACGAAATTGGCTGCATGGACGAGGACTGTAAAAGTCATCACTTACAGAAGTTCTAAATTTGAAGTTGAACATCCATCTTTCCATTTCCAATTGCCACCTACGCAAATTGGGCTGTGGTGACGTTGAGTCTATGCCAGGTAATAATAGAGCGTAAGGTGGGGTTCTGCCAGGCAGGATGCCAGTCCGACAGACAGATTCTCACAGAGTTACAAATTAAGACTGATTTATAGTTGAAAAACAATAATAAATTTACTGCTATTGAAATGCTGATGGCTTCATTTGAAATCTGAGTAGATCTAACTGATTTCAGAACTCTGGGGCCTGTTGACCCATTAAGCGATATAAGCAGCTGCCTAGGGCACCATTTTCTGAGGGGGCACAGACTTCGCCAGCTAAATTCACTTTCCCTCGGACAGGGTTGGTGCACCACATGTCCTTCGACCGGTTCTACTTAAAATGTGGTTTTGGCCTACAAGTCACATGCCTTCATGGCATCAGCGTGTCTGTTCTTACAGCAGCGCATTAAAGCGTCAGATGTCTGCCAGAGATGTACAGTTTACAGCCCAGTTGTGATGAAATCCCAAGCGCGTCCCTGTAAGCAGCTTGGCACGTGCGTTTTATCTCGTGTGAACCAGTGTCCAAGTGGCACTGGTGCGTGAGCACCGTAACAGGCCTGTCGCACCATAACAGGCCTGTCGCACGTTCGGGTTTCAGGGACCTGCCTCAACCAGGTTTGGCGTCCCTGTGGGAGATCGTGCGTATGGTGAACATGCTCATCGTCTTCCGCTGCCTCCGGATCATTCCCAAAATCAAGGTGATCACAGAGCAGAGCACAATAAAGGTCCCATTACATTGGTAGTATTAGAAGCCAATCGAGGACACTCGCTAATGACTCAGAGTATTAATTAATTGTATTAATAAAAAAATGTTGACTATCATCGTTTCTCATTAGAAAAATTCTCAGTCAGTTCATCCCAAATGTAAATGTTGGGAAAATGTTGAGCTGATTTTCATTTTGTACATTGTTTTCAACAGGTAATGGCTGTTGTGGCCAGTACCTTGGTGGATCTGGTGAGAAACCTTAGGGCCTTTGCTGGAATCTTACTGGTGAGCAATTTCCTTTAGCCATTGATCTATGTGTTAGTGTAAGTGATAGTGTAGTAAGTGATAAGTCCTCCTATTAAACATATTTATCTTAAAGTGGCGCTTTGTTCCTGTGGTATCATCGGCTCTTGTTTTATCCTCTCTGTTCTTTCTTCAAGGCCGTGTATTATGTGTATGCTGTTCTTGGTATTTGGCTGTTCCATGAGGCAATAACAGCACCAGCAAATGTGAGGTGAGACTGCTTTGCCGTATCTGTCGATTTAATGTCTAGTTGACCAATCACAGGTGACAATGGAAGCATGTGTGCTTATATATATTATGTGTGTGTGTGTGTGTGTATAATTATATATGTATAGTTCTTTATATTTTACATCTTCACTATTGTCCTCAGAGATGTAATTGCTTTATGTTATGTTCCAAAGGTAATAAAAACATTTCATTATTTTACTTTGACATATCAAAACCTTTTTTTCTAAAGCTGCTTTTACTTGCTATTAACTTTTTTCAAAATTGGCCATTTTCAGGCCGAGTTTTAGCTTTTCTTTTGCAGAAAGCATGAACGTATAAATGTTTTCCATGGTTTCCACTAGCTCGTCATCTAACTCCAGCGCGGAATGCGGGTCATACGAGCAGCTGGGCTACTGGCCGAACAACTTTGACGACTTTGCGGTGAGTGTTGCCACCGAGCGTGAATCACCCGACCTGCGAAAATCCTGCAGCAGGCTGACGGAGACATTGGGTGAAGGGAAGCCACGTCTTCTCATCTGCACAGCCGCTTCAGGGGGCCGTGTCTCCCGCATGCATTCCTTATTGCGTGCCGGTAGCTGATGCATAACCAAAAACGTGAAAAATGCATGTAAACGTTCCTGATGCTACACGTTTCTACGTGTGCGACGCGATAGTGAATGGAATTACTGCAATTACTCTTGTCTGTGTTGACAGAGCTAAATCCTGGGAGGTACCAATAAGATAGATGGGTCTTGTAAAAAAACAGTCAAGCTAAGGAATGGTTTATGTAGGTCAAAATCTCAGACAGTAATGTCTGCTTTTCTTCCTCTCCTTCACCATCTGGGGCCCAGTCTGCCCTTGTCCTTCTCTACAACGTCATGGTGGTGAACAACTGGCACGTCTTCTTGGAAGCCTACACCAAACACACCACAGAGTAAGGATGCATAGGTTCCTGGCCTTGAGCAGAAAGAGTGCTTTCATGGTCTTCTCCATCCTGTATGAAACTGTAAGTTTTCCACACATTTTGTGGCCTTCAGTGACATTTGGATTTTTCAAAAGGACAGTTTAGTTTGGCCAGAATGTGGAACCAATCTCTGGCCAGCTGCTACTTGTAGCAAATCTGTAACTTCCATCCAGTATGAGAATTATGAAGTCAGTATTTAAATAATGTGAATAAATAAGTTCTGATCTGACCATTTTCTGCCCGCAAGATGGTCAAAGGTCTACTTCATTGCTTGGTGGCTGACTTCCTCTGTCATGTGGGTGAATCTGTTTGTAGCCCTGATTCTGGAGGTATGTTTTCCGCAAGGTTGACTGAAATAAAGCCAGTCATGTTACTACCGTGTGATTCATTTGTTTTTGAAAACCATTGATGGCCTGTCTCTCTACACAACCAGAACTTTACTTACAAGTGGGATCGGAGTCAAGACTGTTTGGACGTGGAGAGGATCAAGTACGAGAGCTCGGTTCAGCTCATGTTCCGGTCAGTCTGCTTTGGTTTTGGGTCTTCATTAGAGTATCACTAGGCTCATATGTTCATGCTGTGTGGACACTTTTTTGGTTGCCTTTTTATCTTTACACTCATCTCCACAGCTTCACTCACTCTTCAAGAAACACTTGCAAGGCACTTGCTTCTACTTGAAATATGTAAAATATGGGTAGACGGCAGGTATTTAATCATGCATTTTCATTTTATTCCCCATTTTCCCACTGCTTCTCAGAAGAGACTTACAAGAACCTACAGAGGAGGAACTTGCGGCCAGGCTGCTCCAGCACCCACACCTACATCTCATCCAGTGACAGCAGTTGGCCGCGATCTCACAAGCTTGCTTCCTTCGCTTCCACTGGGCGTTCCTCTTGGCCTGTCACTTTCTCAGACGGGTCGGACTTGTTCCATGGAACACAGGCGTCGTGCTGATCCATAGAATAACGGTTGCCTCCCTCCCTATTAGCAGAAGCTTGTGTCAGCACTATGGCAGCCAAGACAGTTGATGTTTAAGGACTCATGTCTTCACATATGTAACCTTCCTCTTAGTAGTATCTGTTCTGGCCTCAAAAAACCTCCTGAGCTGTTCAGATTATTTTACGCTTTCACTGTTTCCAAACAAACATTGCAAACCAAAACACATAACAGTCAGTCTGTGGTCCTCCAAAACATTTGTTGGCTGAGCTTTAAACAAGTTAAGATCTGTTATTTTATTTTTTTATTATTATTATTTTATCGTTGTGCACGAACAATTGTTTTTGTGCAGTGTGTTTAAACTTCATTACATATTCTGATAAAACAGGCAAAGTTGTTCATATCATGTGTGCCTCTTAATGTTTATACAACAAGCAAGTGATTAAGTTCGAGGTTGTGTGACAGGTTATTTGGTTTACATTGTTGTTCATTGCGTTTTAGTTTATTGCTACTATTGTTTGTTCTCATATTAAAGAGTGGAAGTGAATGATATTTTCAGTAGAGACAATGACAGCTGATAAGAATGCTTACAGATGCAGGTGGTCATTGCTTGGAGAATGGGTCAACTGCCACAAAGTTAAATAGTGACTAAATGTCTAATAATGTGTTAAATGCTTAGTGTGGTGTTTCCCAGCCCGACCCTTGGGGACCCCCAAACAGTCCACATTTTTAAGGGAGTTGAAAGGGAGCAAAAATGTTGACTGTCTAGGGGTCCCGGAAGACCGGGTTGGGAAACACTGGCTTAGTGCAGGGGGTTGCCTGACCAATTCAGTCAAACCATGGAGGAATGAGTATGCGATTCAATTCACAATTAATCAAAATTAGAAAATGTTTATGAAATCACTACAAAACAAGACAGAGTATAAGTGAGTAAGATCTGATGAGGACATGTGGTGCTTTTCCACTGCCTCCAGGAACCAAGCCATACTTGACCCGTAATGCAAACTTACAGTTTTCCATTGCAAACTGTGCGAGCCATACCTGACCCATACCCGTGCTGACACGGCCCTGCTTACTAGCAGAACCGAAAGCGTGCTTAAACCAAGCTGATTGCATCACCACCATCTGATTGGTATCTCCATGCATTTCGACCAATGCTCTGTGCGTGGATTATCTGAATGAAAACGCGTATGTTCTATATGTTATTAATTATTACTAATATTGCACATCGCGATCCATTCCCGAATTTGAAAATGTCCAACCACCTATATAAAAAAGTACAGACGCACCCCTACTTACAAATGAGATACGTTCCAAACGGGCGTTCATTACCTGATATGTTCGTAAGTCGTTATTCAGCATCATTTTAAGGGTATACGGAAGTACAAAGAACTAGGATGCTGGGAGTTCGCACGCTACACTGCTGCGCGGCGGGAGTAGCGGCCAGAAGGCGTACTACCCAGAATTGGCGCACAGAAAAAAAAATTTATGTTGCGGACAGGAAACTGGAGCCCAATGAACACAATTTATACTTACAGTCCTCTTTGTTCATATGTCTGAAAGTTTGTAAGTTGAAAGTTCACAAGTAGAGGAGCGTCTATATTACAGAACAGCTCGACAGATTCGTAATGCAAATTTACACAAGAGAATGATAATTCGTCTATCGTTTGAAACTTGCATGACTCGGCGATTCTCACAGACGCGCTAGTGGAAATTAGCACACATAAAAAATATTAACTGCACATAGTAAATCATGATATATACAGTGTGAACAGTAAATATGCATCCCCTCGGTTTTACGTCACTTTCGCTCTCCAAACCGGTAATGCTTTTACCGAGCCGACATTTCTGCAGTGGAAAACTGAACCGCACTGGAACCGCACTGTAACTAGCCTCTTTTTCATGGCCCAGCTCAGGTACAGCTTGGTTTCTGATTGCCAGTGGAAAGGAGATTTTATGGAGATGGTGCTGCATAGCCCATGAGTATGATGATGATGTCCTTAAAGTGCTTTGTCTATCATTGTTCTTGGTTTCTCTGTTCTGTTCTATACTAATTTTTCTAAAGATTTATGAAACATGTAAGTACAGGATATCACAATTGCTTCTTGAATCCAGTTCTATATTTTAAATGTCATCAGATAATTACAGAACAGGTTTTGCATTCTTTATAAATATCTGTTTATCCATTAATAGATGCTACGGGCTGCATTACAAGCTGATTATCAACTCGAAGTCGGAGCGTTCTGAAAGTGAATTAGTGCTCAGTTTCTATAAGTCTGCCTCTTCTGGAGGTGAGGAAATTGTCCTGTTGAGGTCATTTTTGTAATGCCACTCACAACACTTTGCTCTCATAGTTTCAACCTCACTCCAGTTACATTAGTATGCCGACCGTACATCGTCCATTCCCCTTACCCGGCATAGAGTCACAGTGGGCCTGGAGTATTGAGTACAAGGCAGGGGACACTCTGGATGGGAATCCAGTGCATCGCGAGGCACACACTGGCAGGCTATGGGCAAGTTATGGACCGGTTTACCAAACCACATGTTCTTGGACTGTGGGAGATAACCCATAAGGCAGGCGAAGCTCCACACCCAGAGCGGGGGCAGAATTCTAACCCACAATCCTGTGGGTGTGAGCCATCGTCCTACATACTAGTTAGCTCATCCAGAGTCCCATAGCTTGAAGTGTTAAATTAACCTCATTCCTTTGATGCAGGTGTCTACTGAAACGATTCAAGTTAAAGATTTTGCTCAAGGGAATAACAGTAGGATCCGCCCTAAACTAGTGTTTGGTTAAACCCAATCTTTGACCGCTAAGTTACCTGCTAGTCCCTGTTAGTCAGGATACTGTCGTTGTATAATACCACTACTATGGAGTAATGCATATTTCATTTTTAAACTAAATTCACAAGCCTGTTTTAATACAGGGTCATGGCCGTGGTGTGTTTGTTTGACAGATAATGTGGATGAATGGTGATAGTGAGCTAGCTATGAGGTGTTCGCATGGATCTGGGGTAAGAAGAGAGAAATAACGCCCCCACTTAATTTCATGCTGTTTAGTAGATGGGATTTTATCTATGAGACCCAGAGCTAAAGAGTTAATGGTACCCCCACTATACTCAAGCTTGGAATGCTGCGGAACCTCGGGTAGACTGACAGTGCATGCCAAGCTAGCATATGAGATGAATGTTTTTATGCTCACCTTTCTCAAAATGGGCTTTTAGCATTGCGGAATCCGGCCGGCCTGCTGAGTGACCAGTTTTAACATGTGGTATGTCATGGTCGGACTTTCACAAGCAGCAGCCTGATTTCTGCAGCTGGCACGGTAGGGGAGAAAGCAAGAGTCAATAGAAGGCGAGGCAAATAAACATACCACTCGGATGACGGGTGGTGGACACAGAGTGGGCTAGGTGAATAAACTTCAGAGCCGAGCCACATTTCAAAGGGGTGCTTATCTTTTGCTGGTTGTTAACCTTTCCGTTTGATGCAATAAAGTCACCTCCATGTACCACAATGCCAAGCCCGATAGACTCCCACTCAGCCAATCACAAATCAGTATATTTGCTGGTTTTGGGTTGGGGTAAAATCTGCAGATCGATTATGCCAGCCAGTACTACAATTTCTCAGTGTAGCTGTTTCATTTATTCATATTATTAGTAGTAGCACAAGAAGGATTGTGTATGAGCATAATGGGACTTTCCTTCAAACCCCAAGAAGTGTGGAAGCAGAAAGTATGCCAAGCCATAAGACCCCATGTAATTCTTCAATTTAACACTTTAAGTGACAAGAAAATAGGGGCATTTAGGCCAGCAGGTGAACACTGTTTTTAAATATCCATCTGTATGTCAGTCTCACTCTGAGTCAATGCCGTGAGCTGTCTGTACCTATGACGCCCTCAATTCACTGGCCGCCTCTGCCCGTTATCACAGTATAAGTGCTGTAGTTGTCATTTGAGACAGGCAAGAGGAATTCTGTGACAATGAGGAGTGACAGAAGAGAAGGTAAGAACAGACCAAGCTGCCTGCCAATGTGTCTCAGTCGCCTGGCTGATGGCACGTTGAGGCAGGTTATCCCTGTGAACCGGAATGTGGGCGATGACAGGGATGTCGGTTATGTCATAGAGGCGATGTGGCAGCGTCAAAGCCTCTAAGGTTTTTCTCACCGTTTATCATGCTTCTCATGGTGCAATTTACACGTCTCTCCCATCGTCTTAAGAAACAAAAAAAAAAAGCTTGAAAACAAAGTAAGGAATTCACAAAGTCATTCAATGCAACCAACGTTTCACTCCCACAGAATTCTGAGCATATCAGCTCAGTTCTGGCACGCGGGGATAACCAACTCGCCTAGGAAGAATGTTCCCGGATTGTGGTTTTATTTTTGGTGTAAACGAGGACATGCCCTATTAAATGTGCATTGAAAATATGGGGATTAGGGTTTCAATCCACCTCAACTTAAGAAAGCAGTAGTAAAGAAAGTTTCTTTCAAATTTAACAAACAGCAGCTTTAAATATGATTTGTAACTTTGATTTTAATTGTTGTCTCTTCTGACTTGAGCCACAGTGCTGTCACCTGGTCTCTGGCATTGTTCGTGTGAGAGGAAATGGGAAATCAATCGACAGATGGCTTTCCTGACATACCTGTGCACCTTCTCCTTCCCCTGGTCCCACAAACTGTCACCTGCTTCCACTCTGCCGTTGACCTAACTAGAGTGCAGCTGTCTCGTTGCCCCTGGCAACGGCCTGGGTCTGGTATTCCCCTTCAAGGCAGGTTCTTATCACGCTTGACACTGGCAGGTATGCTCAACTGATGAACCAGCTGCTGCCCTAACCTTACGAAATGCACACGAATGGACAGCTGAAATTCTGGAATCCCTGCCTTTCTCAATTGCTACCTCCCTTTTTTTCTTGTATAATATGACACAAGAACTGTGATAGTGATAGTTTGGCTTATAAAAGTTTAATAGAGCTTTCTCCCCAGATAAGAGTGTTTAGCATAAGTTTTGGCCACTTACAACTTGCTAAATATACACGATATGTAACATAAATGTGGACTTGGTCCCTCTTCCTTTTAGTTTATTAGGTTATTGGCAGCTGAGAAAAGTATTTACTAATGTTTAGTATATCTCACTGCTGTGTGTATTTGTTTTAAGCACTAGATGTCACTAGTGTGTGAACTCAAAGTGTTCTTGCTTATTTCGAAAAGTCATTATTGTAGAAAACACACTTCTGATGGTACACCTGATGTTTTGTGTCCTTTAATATGACATATCCATGTTGTGGCTGGTTGCTGAACATGGGAAATACCCCCCCACACACACCTTCTTCGAAAACACATTCTGGGGAGCTTGTTCTTGGGTTTCAGTCTTGGAATATCAGGATTTGATTTCCGGATAATTAAAGGGCTGGAGGTAGGTGTAAAATCTCAGCATTAAAAAAAGCAAACAATTGTCTTTGAAACTGGGAGGAGGTGGGATGGTCGTATTGGTGCTAGTAATGGGGGGGGGGGGGGTAGTTTGTTCTCCAGCAGGAGTGGCAGAAAGGGGAAGGTGTCATGACCCACAACAATACCCCTTTCACATCAAGGCAGGGTCCCAACAGAAGGCATCCAGAGAAGGAACAGCTCAGCCCTCCCCGCCCTGCCATCCTGCTCCCCAAAACTTCCCTGTAATTACGTGGCCCATCCCTCGCACCCCCCAGCACCTATCTACTGTAGAGTAACTCAATCAGAGCCCCCCTCCCACTCCACCACCTCGATAGAAGAAGCCGCACCTGTCTGTCCAGGTCTGGCCTTTTACCTGTTGTTAAGATGGAGCTCATAAGCCGAGCCGTTAAGCCTCCTCCCGCAGTCGCTGCCGCTGCCGTCCTCCTCTCCCCCACCACCTGTCTGCCAGGTGAGGGTTTATCGGCTGCCCATCCCTGTTCCGTTTGTTGGTTTTGTTTCAAGGTGCAAGGATAAGAAGTGCTGTAAAAGCCGGGGACGCTCCGGTTCCGCCCAGCCGGCCTGCCTTCCCATGTTCCCATTGTGATCTGCAACCAGTGAGGTGGCATTGGGGTGGGAGCAGTTATTTCTTTGAAATTCTGAACTTACCCAAAAGCGAGATGGCGGAATTTATAATAGGCAATACTTAAGAGTTCCGTAAGCTACACTTCGGTCTGAATGATGCACCTGAAGTCCAAAATCACTTTTTCGCTGGACAGCAGCAATAATGGGATGGAAAGGATGTAATAGCCTCAAATCAGCTGTAGTCATTGTGTAATATTTTGCCGTTTTTTGTCAAGAGAATCTTGCAGCATGCATTATGGTCTCTGTCCATTGCTATGGATAAAGCCTTTTACATTATGTGGAAGACATTTTTTCCCCCACTAATAATATATATTTCGTTTCACTTAAAGGTCTTTGTCATGTAATCATTTGTTGGGTTGTTAACATTCCACAGCTGGGAAGAGCAAAGCTGGAGCGCAGAGCTACAATGAAGAGCCTTCATTTTTATTTTTACTAAAAGCTGCAGTTCAAAGTGTCCCACAGGCCAGGCAAATGAAAGAGATCTGGATCAGCCCAGTTTCCAGTAAAAATTAACTTGTGATCAAAGTACAGTATGTGTGTGTGTGTGTGTGTGTGTGTTTTTTCTTGGGGAAGCCAAGCCCCAATAACATCCTAGAGCCATCATCACCCCTCCCGGATAATAAATCTGTGAATCGACAATTTGCATACAGGTGAGAGGAAAGAAAGACCCATTGCCAGGGGAACAGAAAGAGAGAAAAACACTAAAGGAGTTTTGTCTATGTGGGTGGTGAGGTGGGTAGAATGGGGGGGGGGGGGGGGGGGGGGGGGGGGGGGGGGGTAGGGGGGGTAGCTAGAGTCATTTTATTGGTATATCAATATTGGTATTTCAAGAACTCCCAGCTGCTGGGCTCTATGATTAGCTGAAAGGAAGGGATTAATCATCCTGGGTTCTTTGAACATCTTAACAGAGCCAAATAGCAAGATGGACATCTCCACTAGATGGCAGTAGTGCGGCCTTTGTTGCTGCAGGTGGAGCAGTGGAGCACTTAATGGCTTTCTCAGCCTAGTGTAGAGACATGTACAGCTATGGTTTGTATTTTGAGAAGCAAGTGAACTGTGGCTGAAAGGGCTCCAGATGAAACTTGTTTTCAAAGTAGCGAAAGAGAATTTACATTTGTTTCCATGTAATTTGCATTCTTCCTGTCGATCCCTTTCAGGTTTCCAAAAAGTCCTTTTTTTTCTTTTGTGGGAAAGGTGCCTGAAGTGAAAACCAGTAAGTTCTTCACATTTCTGACCCGTAATCCTATGGTGACAAATGACAACATCACGAACACCCTACCCTGCCTTGCAGCAAACACTCCATTCCACAATCCAATCTCCTCATCGAAAACAATGCTTATCTTGTTTATGCACTATCCCCGTTTATTCCAGCCAAATCATGATTTTGTTGTTGTAGGCAGTGTCAAAGTACAGGATTGTATGTCAGCGAGTGGGCCTTGTGATAAAGCCAGTCAGAGCTGATGCCGTGTCTTCAGGAAAACAAAAACCGCCCCTTCTCTTCACTGCCCCAGCTAAAGACAAAATAAGAGTCCAGCATACGTTTATTACAGGAAAGACATAGCTCAGCAGAGACGGTCGAAGGAAGCGGGTGCTTGCCTGAGAAGTCATATCTTATAACAGGACGCAGATTTGTACATATTCTGCTCATGATAGAAGAAGAAGAAAAAAAAAACGAGCAAAGCCGGTGATATGGCATCTTAAGTTTCCTTGTAATCGCTCTTGAAGGAAGTATTCAAAGTTTCCCACAGCACCGGGACAATGTACCCAGTCTTGGCCAGGGAACATGGTTACCTGCACTCTTTTTTAACCTTTCAGTTTTGGAGGGAAGCCAGCATACTTTCTCTTGTCACATGACTGGTCTTGCTCTTAAATGTGTCTGATATGTCTTTGTTCATTTGTGAGTCTTGTTTTCATCATGTGACAATGTGTGTGGAACTTACTGGATTTTTAGATGACTGTATTCTTCTCCCCAATGACTTCAAAGTTTTGAATCGAAAAGGTTATTTCAGTTTTTTTCCCCCTTCATTTAAATATCATCCCATCTTGCAAATTCCTTGTTCCCATGAACAAACCAAACATATCCATTTCCCACACGTGTACTGGAGAGATCTCGTTCCGACTCTGGGTTTCAGTGACCGTGTGAAAGCCCATATCCCTGACAATATGGCCACCTGCCCACAGAGAGGGTTTTAACTCTGTGCACTTCATATGCCAACCTGAAGTGGTGGGGGGGGGACAAGGGTGGACAAAAGCGTGGATCCCTGTTCCGGAGCTACTGGAAGCATCAGGAAACTAGCTGGTGGAGCGGGGGAGCAGGACGCAGGGTGGAGTGCCTGCACTATGGCCAGGGAGCATCATTAGCATGGATGCCTCCGTCACTGGGCAGCTCCCGGGACATTTCCCACATTAAGCGGCCTCTCGCCCTTCACCTGACGGGCTGCCGTGACGTCATGGCACAAACTCCAAGGGCAGCCTGGCCAGGATGTACGCAGAATCCCCCCCAGAAATGACTTAGTAGGAGGGGAGGGCTTTAGCATAACATGCTTCATTTTCACACCCATTACCCACCCTTTTGTTCAATGTGAGGATTAGCCCTTTAGCATCCACGCTATGAATTATCTATTAAAACATTGTTAATTATCTAAATCCCTCTAATATCAGTAATACGCATGGACCACAGTGCGTAGCGCTGGATAAATCTGTTGATCCGAGCGTTAATAATGTGAAGTCCCAAATTTTGCCTGTTTCCAAGGTGATTTGTCACAGGAAATGCAGACCACAACAGGGTGTGGTAGCTATTAACCCGCATCCAGATGTTTTCTGTTTTTTTTTTCTTTTCAGGTGAGACTGTGATGCTGTAGCAATGTGGCTATACTTTTTGTATGACTTCTGAGAGTAAATACAAGTTAGGGACAGTTCATTGGTCTAGAAATTATTGGACTTTCCAGACTCATGATGAGACCAATCAAAGGTTCAAGGTTCGCAAACTAGGTCTGAAATACGGTATAGGTGCTTGTAAGATTCTACAACAAAGGATATGAGGATGGATGAAGAGCTAGAATGTAGGTCCCTACTTTGGTCGTATTTTTGTCTTTAATATTAATTTGTTTGCAATTTACTCCATATATCTAGTATTTTCCTATTTCTTAATTTTTCTTCTCATATTTTTCAGATTTCAGTAAAATGAGTTTTATGTTTCTTGAGGCTTTCTGCAAAGCTTGTGATAAACTGCGCTATACTAAATAAGCTTTATATTAAGCATACATTCCTCCTATTATAGCCTGTAGTAACATTCCTGCAAATAGTTGTGCAAACAACCAAAGGAGGTGCTATTACTCAGTGGAGTTTTGGAGTCCTTGTCCAGGATTTTACTACAGGAAGGGAGGCCAAGGTCAAGGGTTGGGGGTCAGGGAGCTGGCTCAACATGTTTCGCTGGGGTCATTTCTTTTGGCTGTCTCTTTAAGAGCTAGAGTAACCTGGAGCATGCAGGGATATGAAGAAAAGGGAAGGAGGAATGTAGAGTCTCTCTCTCAAAGGGGCCCAGTTCGATTTAACTGCAGCTTTCCGGCTCTATCGAAAGGTGTAGCTTTTATTTTATTGAATTATTTTTTAAGCCGTCTGGCTGCAATTTGTTGACAGGCGAGGGGGTAATGCGGCAAAAAAAGAAGGGAGCAAGAGGAGAACAAAATCGCATAGAAATAAAGCTCAGTGCAGCCTTTCTGCAGGAGAAAAAAAAACGGAGGGGAGAGGAGAGAAAGGGGGGCTTTATTTCCCGCGCTTGATTAACACTGCCAGCATTTAGCATGCTGATACACATACCTCACACAGTTGCCATCGTTAACAACAACCTGTCAGCTATTCTTGTTTTGGGCGCTGTGCGGCCTTTGTGCCGGGCGGCTAGCGGGCCCTGCAGCTGTCGCGAGGCCTGGCCTAGCGTCCTGTGATCAGCCAGGCATGAAATCTGCCCTGAACAGCTCCATATTCAAGGCCCCGGCGGGTCTTCACCCCACTGCCCCCCCCCGCCACTAAATCTTCCCCAGGCATTTGGGGCTCGGCAGTCGCTGGCGCCAGCTATTTGTTGCCCATTCCCCTCGCACCCCCCATCAACCCCCCCCCACCCCCCCCCCACCACCCATGCCACCATCCCTCCGCTCGTCTACTGGATCTATCCGGGCCTGCTTCTCCACCTTCGACCCGAACATACAGCCACATCCATAGAGCGGCCCTCCGTAGATTTTATCCAGTTACTCCAGGGAGTAACTTTTATTTCCATTCCTTCTGCAAGAGCGCACAGAATGAATTCATTCATCCATTCGAAAAGGGGTTTGCTGGTGAATGTGAGATGCACATCCCCCTCACCGCCGCCCCCCTTTTCTGCAAAGGAATATAAAGTATATGACTCATAATGGAGCATGTAAAAGGTCAATCCACATGCAAGCATCTCACTGCGTTTTTTTTCCATGTGACATGTAGCCTGTTGCTCTCCACTGTTGCTTCCCGCAAAAACAAAAATGTGATCTGTAATCCTGTAGGGGGCGCTCTATTAATCAAACTGTGACGTTAAGTTTGTTGGCTCCCTAGTAAACATAAACACGGTGCTTGTGCCCATTTCTCATTCCAATGTTCAGAATGCGGCTTGATATTCTGCATTTCAAGGCCCCGTTACCGAACTGGGAAAAGCTACTGGAAATGGGGGTGGGGGGGGGGGAGCGATTCTGACAGAGCTGATTAGCCTGAAAGAGTTAACGGCACCGGCGTCAGTGGAATGCAGACTCAAACAGGCGGAGCACTAAAGTGAACGTTTAACGTTACGCAACGAAGGACGGAAGTCTGTTATGTCTTCGCAGATAGAATTTCATGGAACTGT